CATGTTGATGCTGTTACAGTTCTTGGAACAGAGGCATCTTCTGTGTGTAGAAAAAGCCATCGGCCTGTGCTTTTCTAAATCATTAAAATGCCATGGGCGTTTTGACAAATTGGCACAGATCTTTAGGCTTAGCAACTGGGAGCAATCTGTTTTGCAGGCTGAGAGAAACAGCTGTAAGACTCTGGTGAAACTCTGTTCTATTGTGTTCAAATACCTTTTAGGCAGAGAGACAGACTGGTAAAGTGAAAATGCATGGTCTTGGGAAGCAGAAGGATCTAGTTTGGAGTCCTGACCCCTCTACTTACTAGCTGTGAATGGTCAGCAAGTAACAATTTCCTCATCTGCAAAATGGGGACATACATACAATTCTTTCAGGATTGTTGTGATGATTAGAGGTAATACCTTTAAAGTGTGTGGCAAAGGTTATGCATCATAAATGGTTTCTAGAAGAGAGGAGAGCACAGTAACAGAATTAATGATGGTTGCAGTAATGGCAGTAGTTGTAGTATGAGTATAAATAGTAGTTGTAGTTGTAATAGCAAAAAATAAAGTGATGAAAATGCTGGAGAGGAGCCAGGAGACTTCGATTGTGCAAGTGATGGAATTAATGGAGTGAGTGGAGCCTGAGAATCAAAAGACCCGGACTAGTCTTTGCAGTTTCTCAGCATTTTGAGAGTCAGTGTAGAATTATAGAAAATTGGAAAAGGTTTATGGTCCCCTCCAAAGTTTCATTTAGATGCCTTCTCTTCACCTGCAACAACATATAAATTGAATAGCAGATGTTTCTTTCTTCCGTGTGATTGAAATGCTAATAAAAGCAATAGCAGTCCATGCTAACTTATATGTATGTGCTATGTATCAAACGCATTTCAATTTTACACATATTGCTTCATTAAATTCTTTCAAGTGCCCTATGAAATGTGTCATAATTTTACTTCTATACTTAGGTACTGAAGTATACAGGAATCTAATATCTTACTCCTGGTTACAGAGCTAGTTGGAGAGTCAGAATTACAACTCAGGAATCTGGTTGCAAAGCTTCTGTCTAAATTCCTGTTCTGTATTATACCATACTGCTCCAGTGAAAGTTGTTACAACCCAGAGGTGAGGACACATGGCTTGCTCGATTGATAGAGAAGATTTACATTTTTAAATGCACAATATTGTGTTATAATTTGTCCACAGTGGTTTAGCACAGATTAGATGACAAGATATAAAGACATAAGAACTGTTTTTATTAAAACAGTCAACCAATCAACAAATAACCAATATTTATTTAATTCATAGTTATTAAAATGCGACTATTTTTAAAGGCTAGTGAAGAGTCCATTTGAGGAGAGGGTTAATTCTGGGAAGACTGAAAGATTATATTGGAGAAGTTACAATAGGACATGACAGCAAAAGGCCTAGAATGTCAATCTAAGTCTGAACTATAGATGAGGAGTTGGACACCTGCTCTCTGGATGGTCATAGAGGTGTCTATGGATGATCTGAATGGTCTCTTTTTGTGTACACACATGCTTTATCATGATTATGAACTTACCTATTTCCTTTAGTAAGCGCTTTATAAGCTCTTTGAGATCTGTGACAATTTCAAAATTCTTCTGACCCATGCAGACAACTGTGTGTCCCATTAAGGCCCCAAGGGCCAGTTCAGTTGCCCATCCATAATATGACCCCCACCTATCTCTGAGAAGGGATTTTTCTCTCAGAAGTTGGAAGAGGTTAAGAACTGAAAATCAGCTCAAGCTTATATGCTTTGGGCTTCCTTTTTCTTGGGAGAAAAAGACAGGCTTATTTTCTTTACGGAAATTCTAGGTTCATAAATGCTGGGTTTTGCTCTGATTTTCAGGGACCTTCTAATCTGCTGCTGTGAGGGCCAAGACTTAGAAGTAATCACTCTAGAAATCTTACCAATCTAGAAGCAATGTTTCATCACTGCTCTTGAATCTAAGAGAGCCAGCATGAAATTTCAGTATGGCAGTTATTTTACTTAAGAACTTTGAAAATGTCACTCCACAGTTCTCTGAACCGAATTGTTGTTTATGAGACTCTGCTGTCAATCTAATTATAATTATTTTGTAGGATTTTTCCTCTCTCCTTGCTTTTAAGGTTGCACTTTTGTCTTTATTGTTCAGAAGTTTTACCATGATGTGTTAAGACATGGGTTGGTTTTTATTCTTCTTAGGACTCCGTGTACCTTTTCAAGTCATCTTTTTTCCACTTAGATAAATTCTTAGCCATTGTCTCATCAAATATTGCCTACCTTCCACCTTTCTATTTCCTCCTACTGGAATCTTCTAATTTCCCTTTTCTGAACATTCTGTAAGATGTATCCTTGTATCTTCTTATGCTATCATTTTCAAATATAATTTCTGTGACAAACTCTAAAAGCGACTTTATTTCCTTATGTTTATCTTCCAGTTTACTGAGTCTCTTTTATTCTATTTTATTTTACTTTAGGTGGATACTATATCTAGCATTTCTCCCCATGTTATCCCTCCCCACCCCCTGCTGTCCCTCCCCTACCCCCCCAACTGCCCCCAGTGTGTGATGCTCTTCTCCAAGTCCATGTGTTCTCATTGTCCAACATCCGCCTATGAGTGAGAACATGCGGTGTTTGGTTTTCTGTTCTTGTGTCAGTTTGCTGAGAATGATGGCTTCCAGATTCATCCAAGTCCCTACAAAGGATGCAAACTCATCATTTTTTATGGCAGCATAGTATTCCATGGTATATATATATATATATATATATGTACCACATTTTCTTTGTCCAGTCTATCATTGATGAGCATTTGGGTTGGTTCCAGGTCTTTGCTATTGTACATAGGGCTGTGATCAATATACACGTGCATGTGTCTTTATAGTAGAACGATTTATAGTCCTTTGGGTATATACCCAGTAATGGGATTGCTGGGTCAAATAAAATTTCTATTTCTAGATCCTTGAGAAATCGCCACATTGTCTTCCACAATGGTTGAACTAATTTACACTCCCACCAACTGTGTAGGAGTGTTCCTATTTCTCCATATCCTCTCCAGCATCTGTTGTCTCCAGATTTTTTAATGATCACCATTCTAACTGGCGTGAGATGGTGCCTCAATGTGGTTTTGATTTGCATCTCTCTAATGATGATGAGCATTTTTTTCATGTTTGTTGGCCTCATATATGTCTTCTTCTGAAAAGTGTCTGTTCATATCCTTCACCCAGTTTTGAATGGGGCTGTTTTTTCTTGTGTATCTGTTTTAGTTGTTTGTAGATTCTGGATATTAACCCTTTGTCAGATAGGTAGATTGCAAAAATTTTTTCCCATTCTGTTGGTTGCCAGTTCACCCTAATGATGGGTTCTTTTGCTGTATAGACGCTCTGAATTTTAATTAGATCCCATTTGCCTATCTTGGCTTTTGTTGCCAACCCTTTTGGTGTTTTAGTCATGAAGTCCTTGCCTACGCCTATGTCCTGGATGGTTTTGCCTACGTTTTCTTCTAGTGTTTTTTTTTTTTATTGCATTTTAGGTTTTGGGGTACATGTGAAGAATATGTAAGACTGTTGCATAGGTACACACGTAGCAGTGTGATTTGCTGCCTTCCTCCCCATCACCTATACCTGGCATTTCTCCCCATGATCTCTCTCCCCAACTCCCCACCCCCAACTGTCCCTCCCCTATTTCCCCGCAATAGACCCCAGTGTGTAGTGCTCCCCTCCCTGTGTCCATGCGTTCTCATTGTTCAACATCCACCTTCTTCTAGTGTTTTTATGGTGTTAGGTTTTATGTTTAAATCTTTAATCCATCTGGAGTTAATTTTAGTTTAAGGTGACAGGAAGGGGTCCAGTTTCTGCTTTCTGCACATTGCTAGCCAGTTTTGCCAACATCATTTATTAAACATGGTAGTCCTTTCCCCATTGCTTGTTTTTGTCAGGTTTGTCAAAGATCAGAAGGTTGTAGATGTGTGGTGTTGCTTCTGGGGCCTCTGTTCTGTCCCATTGGTCTATGTCTCTGTTCTGGCACCAGTACCATGCTGTTTTTACTACTGTAGCCTTGTAGTATAGTTTGAAGTCTGGCAGTGTGATGCCTCTGGCTTCATTCTTTTTGCTTAGGATTGTCTTGGCTATGCAGCCTCTCTTGTGATTCCATATGAAGTTTAAAGTGGTTTTTTCCAGTTCTGTGAAGAAGGTCATTAGCAGCATTTCAAGGTTCCCAGCCATATACAAGGGTCTCTACTATACCTTGTTTTCTTTCTCTTTCTTTCTCCACCTTCCCCTTTTTTTAAATCTCTCTAACCTCTCACTTCTCCAGGTCAAATCTCCTACCCACTGTGTGGCTGTAAAACTCTCAGTCACTAGTTGCTAAGATCCCTGTGAATCAGCGCAGCATTATCTCTTAACACTCTTGGCTTAATTTTCCATTTTGTTTCTAGCCCTTAAGCATTTTTCCTTTCCTTTGAGCTTAGCATAAAGGCTAGGAGCAAAGCTCGTATTGCAGAGAAAGACATATTTAATTAAAAGACTGTGTATTACATTTCTTCCTGACTTTGGCCAGTATTTATGGCAATAAGGAAGTCCTGCAACATGAGTTCAGCCTGCCATGTTGTCAGAGATTGCCTTCACCCAATATCATGAATTTAGTTTTCACATAGAGCCAATGTTGAAAGAGTTCGGAAGGCTAACTTTACAGTAGCTTCCATAGAACCACTCTGATTTTGAGACGCTAGTCAAGAAGGAGAATAATTGTGCTGGGTAAAATTTTACTCCCATGTAATATTTGCCTAACAATGTAGCAGTCAGGGTAAGGACACACTTCCATTTTCATTATGATCCAATTTGAATTGCAGCTTTGCTACATTTATCTGTGTCACTGCTACCCATTGTTATGGCTGGCAAATAATGACAAAGAACATTTATTGAGCTCTTACCTATGTGCCAGGCAGTGCTCTACTGCCTGGCACATAGGTAAGAGGCACATATAAAGATAATTCAATTTTATCTTTATAACAAAGAACTGAAGCACAGAGAGAATACATCACTTGCTCATGGTCACACAAGTGGTAGAGTTAACATTCAAATCTGGCATTCTAATGCTACCGTCTGATACTTCTTTAAGTGAGCACGTAAATAAATATATGTTGAATGAATAGAAATATGTTAAAATTATATCATTACTATGGTCATCATCATCATCATTATCATCATCATCACTATCTTTGGGGAAGAATGCATTTAAAATAGATCCTTGCTGACTGTCAGCAAATAGATGATGGATGAACAAGAAAACCTACAGGCAAGAATTACTTAAAGTAAGTTGCATAGGAATGTGCTCAGCCCAAAGGTTTACAGTTTTAATTAGAACCATGACAAATTGTCTTCTTTTCCCCCATACATAGCTCCAAGCACACTACTGATGCAGCTAAGCTTTGTGGAAAGTTTTTCTGTTAAAACCAGCTTTAGAATTGCAAATAGAAAACGTGAAATAAGACAAATTTAAAAATGATCATTGGTGGCATCCTGTACATACAATGTTCTGTACAGTGCAAAGAGCACATTTTTAAAAGAAGGTTTGGGGTCAAATCTAAGCTTCAATGCTTCCTGTACCTCAGTTTCTCCACTTGTAGTATGAACAATGGAGAGATAAACTAGCTGGGCTGTGTTGAAGACTAATTTGGATAATGTAACTGGGGGACGGAGTTCTGTGTCTGAGTCATAATACTTCTGAACCCCTAAATCATAGAAAGAGTGGACACATCATTTCTTCTCTAACGCCTTACAATTTAAGCTTGGGGTTATCCTTGGGACTGGCTCTTCCTCTGTGCAGAAGGGAACCACTGCAGAACGGCATAGTCTAATAGGAGCACTGACCACAGAGCCAAATGACCTGCTGTAAACCTTAATCTGCTACCAGCTGGCTGTATGACTTTGGGCAAGGCTCTCTGTGCCTCAGTGTCCTTGTCTGTCAAATGAGCATAAAAGTAGATGCTATCTCATAAGGCTGCTATTAGGATTAAATGAGCTAATATTTGGTAGCTGGCACTTAATAGGTGTTTATGTAAGGGCCTGTTAAATGAATAAATAATATAGTCACTCGGAGTTAAAGATAAATGAGGTGGGTGGATGACCTGAGGTCAGGAGTTTAAGACCAGCGTGAATAACATGGAGAAACCACATCTCTACTAAAAATAAAAAATGAGCTAGACATGGTGTTACATGCCTGTAATCCCAGCTACTCAGGAGGCTGAGGCAGGAGAATCACTTGAACCCAGGAGGCGGAGGTTATAGTGAGCCAAGAATACACCATTGCACTCCAGCCTGGGCAATGAGAGTGAAACTTCATCTCAAAAAAAAAGATGAATGGTGAGTTTCAAATGCATATGCTTTGCACACTTATTTAAAACCACTACTTAATAATTTAAAGGCTATCTTCATCATAGGTGGGTGCATCTCTAGTGACATATTTTTGTTAAGTTTTTATTTTGTTGCTTCCTTTTGTGAGGCCCAGAGAATGTGAAGGGGCTGGAATTGTAATTGTAGGACTTTAAAAGGAGGTTTCTTGTCTGGATGAATGAGGCTGCGCGCCTCATGGCCTGAGGTCAGTGGCTTTGGATCACTATGACAGGAGTGGCCTCCTGGGAAGGGACAGGGTGGATGTGTCTTAGAAGCAACAATCTGTGACCATCCAGTCACAGTTTAGTGTCCTCATTTTATTTTTGCAATTTGGCAAAATACATCCAACCTGAAGACCTTGTGTTTGCTGTGTGTTGGGATGTCAAGAAGAACTTCATTTCTCTACCATGGTGGAGAAATAGGTATAGCAATGTGCAAAGTGGCCCTGAGAGACTGCTGACAATGCAGAGACATGATTTTAAAGCAACCATGGTGAATGGACTTAAGCTCAGAGAAGCTACCCAACAGAAGAGATGACAAGCAGCAAAGCGATTTTTGAAACATAAAGTAGTCTTTGGAAATTCTCAGAATGCTAGTGTGGCAATTCCTCAAAGAACTAAAAACAGAACTAGCATTCAACCCAGCAATCTCATCACTGGGTATATACTCAAAGGAATGTAAATAGTTCTACTATAAAGACTCATGCACACAAATGTTTATGCAGCACAGGTGGCCATCAATGGTAGACTGGATAAAGAAAATGTGGTATAAATACACCATGGAATACTATGCAGCCATAAAAAAGAATAAGATCATGTCCTTTGCAGGAACACAGATGAAGCCAGAGGCCATTATCCTAAGCAAACTAATGCAGGAACAAAAAACAAAATACCACGTTATCACTTGTAAGGGAGAGCTAAATAATGAGAACACATAGAAACAAAGAGGGGAACAACAAACACTGGGGCATAGTTGAGGGTGGAGGGTAAAGGTCAGAAAAAATAACTCTTGGGTACTATGCTTAGTACCTGGGTGATAAAATAATCTGTACACCAAACCCCCATGACACGAGTTTACCTATATAACAAACTTCACATGTACCCCTGAACCTAAGATAAAAGTAAATAAAAGAAAAATACAGAAAATAAAAAGAAAAGAGAAATAACTAGAAAATGCCTTAGCTTCCCAGCAAGCTGTAAGATGAGTGCTTATATTCGTATATTATTTGATTATTTAAAAATACTTAACTGTGAAAATCTGTAGAAGATAGGCATCCAATGTTTATTCTTAAAGCAGCTAGCACAGTGCCCAGCACATTGCAGATGCTCAATCATTAAGCCCCTTATTTCTTTTATCCTTTGTGAACTAAGGTCCTCCCAAGGCACCCAGAACTAGTGGTGGCTTCCTTGCGCCCTGCGCCCAGGTCCAGAACAGCCTCAACCACTTTGCCAAGCAGACTATCCTACCCTGCCTCTCCTGGTTGGTCTCTCTCTATCATGCCCAAGGCTGTAGCACCCAGGGACACCTCTTCCCTGACATTGGAGTAGATGTGGAAAAGCAGTGTCTTCTGTTGGCATGCTGAGCAGAGGCTTTCTCAATGAGCCATTTGACAGCCCTGACAGCCTATGCCAGAGGGACCTTCATCCAGAAAATGTGGAGTATAGAATTACCTGGGTTTCCGGCCAGTGACCTGGCAGGTGCTTGCCTACCCAGCAGGGTCTGTGCTCACATAAGCATTTCCTGCAAAAGAAGAAAAATAAATCTCTTCTCCCTTGCCCTGCAAACAAATGACTTTGAATAATTGTTCTGATTCACTTCCTCTGGCTGACAGGCCTGGCTCTGTCTTCTTCTGACAGGGGCTGACAGCCTGTGAGCCTGTGGCCTACCTCTCCTTGTTCTTCCAGACACCAGCTCTTTTTGTCCTGCTGCTAACAAGTGCGACACTCTGTGCTGCCTTTGACAAGGCCTGCAGGTTGGGATCAGATGCACTATTCCGCTGGCTCCAGGGAGCTTGTTGGATCTTGGTTCAGGTCACGGTAGACCCAAGTGCTAGGCCCACACTTCTCAAAGTGTGATATGTGCACAACAGGTAATACATGATATGGTTTGCTGTGGTATGCGGACTGAAGGCTTTACTGTAGTAGAAAGACACCAATTTTCATTTAGAATATAGAGCTTCCCCTTGGGTTTTTAACTCAAATCATTTAAGGAAAACAAGTGAGTCAATGTAAAGGAGATAATAGCGCTGGCAGAATATGGGTATGGAAAAAGTTACAAAGGCAATCTATGATGAATACCGTGCAGGCAAATGTGACTCAGGGAGGAAGCTATGCTGTTTACACATACAGAACACTTACTCATCTATCTGTTCACTCAGCACTTTTGAGCACTTTCTATGTGCCCCTTACTATCCTAGGCTGTTGCAGAGCTGGGAGAGCAGAGGTGGCTGTGAGCATACACAGATGCCGACCAATGGCAGGGCTGGATGAGCATCTGTGAATTGTTTTGGGATCGACTGACTGGTGTACAGCAAAAATGAGCTGCAGGGCCAGGTGCTTTGTAGCTCTGAGAGGAAGGGTCTGGTACCAGACCTAAAGTAAGATAATGTCAAAGGCCGGTCCATGCAGAACTTGACATTTTTAGGTAAGTATATAACAAATAAGTTTCCTGGAGTCCAAACCGAGTCACAGATATGCAAGTCTAATCCAGCAAATGACCTCTGAGGGGCTGAATTGAATGAGGGATGCTTCTACTGAAGGAGGGAGGGAGAGATGTGGCATATGGGTATCATCTTTTTCCTTAATATGGTATAAGAACCATTACTTACTGACCATAGGACAGACTGGGCACCACACAACCCTGGACGGCGTCTTTCTCATCTTAGGCATTGTCTGCACCTGAACTGTGGCAATTCCAGGAAGATAACAGTAAACACTCTGGTTCTATCCCAAGCAGCCTACTATAACCATTTTGTAGTAGATGAAAGTAAAGTATCTTGAAGAAGAGGTGCCGTTAGCAAATGCACAGGCCAATTCCTGAAATGCCCAAGTGGCACTACATAAGGCATCTCTTTTTAATCTGGATATTGCCTACCATCAAATTCTTGGCTCATTTTCTGCTCAAGCCTCTGCCTTGCCCCTTTGATTTATTTCGAGGCTTTAGGAAGCGAACAAATAGCAGTCTACTTTCTCCACCTGAGAGATAGGCCAAAGAATCAGGCAGATAGAGATGAAAATATCACCATTATTACAAATGAACTAGAGTAAAGTGGGTCAGCCTGTTGGAAAGCAATCTTGCCAACCAACCCTGAATAAAGCATTTATCCAGACACCGTCACAACTTCTTCACATTCACACCCCTCCCTAATAGGGGCAGGCCCTTTGCAACATGTAAGTGAGCAGGTGAGAAAAGGTGTGCAGGTAGGCAGACCCCAATTAATGGAGACTTGGGGGGTGGGGGGTTGAAACTCTGTAGTTTAAGTCATGTTGCCTCCTCTGGGTAAAAAGTCCAGAAACATTAGTCAGATGGAGGCCCCTCTAGTTGTGAATGAGGTACCTAGGGCTGCAGTAACTAACAGCCAAAAATCAAGTGGCAAAACCAACAGGTTTATTCTATAGCAGTCTGGAGGCCAAAATTCTAAAACCAAAGTATGGGAAACACCACACTCGCCCCCTTGAAGGTGCTATTCCTTGCCTATTCCAGTTTCTGGTGGTTCTAGGGTTCCTTGGCTTGTGGCTGTGTCATTCCAGTTTCTGCCTCTGTCTTCACATGGTCTTCTCCTGTGTGTGCATCTCCCACTTCTGACTCAAAATGTCACTTGCTATCGGATTGAGAGCTTACCTAAATAATCTAGGATTATGTCATCTGGAGGTCCTTAATTACACTGCAAAGACCTTTTCTCCAAAGGTCACATTTACACATTTTGGGAGTTAAGATGTTGAGATTTTTTTTGTGTGTGGAGGCGGGGCACCATTCCTTCCACCAAATAAATACCAATTTCACATGAATTATAGACCTCAATTTTAGAAACAGATAAAGTTTTTTTGGTTTTTTTTGGTTTTTGTTTTTGAGAGTTTTGCTCTTTCGCTCAGGATGGAGTGAAGTGGCATAATCTTGGCTCACTGCAACCCCAGCCTCCCAAATTCAAGTGATTCTCCTCCTTCAGCCTCTGAAGTGCTGGGATTACAGGCATGTGCCACCATGCCTGACTAATTTTTGTATTTTTAGTTAAGACAGGTTTTCATCATGTTGGCCAGGCTGGTCTGGAACTCCTGACCTCATATGATCCGCCTGCCTTGGCCTCCCAAACTGCTAGGATTACAGGAGTGAGCCAGCCAGTGCACCCAGCCTTAAACCGATGAAGAATATTTCTATGACTTCGACAAGGATGTCTTAAGGAAAAACAGAAGCACACAGATCATAAAGGAGATTGTTGATAGTTTCTCCTACGCTGCATTTGAAATTTCTACACATCAAGGACACCACTGAAAAGTAAAAAGATAATTACAAACTGGGATAAAATATTCTCTCTCTACATAAATAATGAAGGTCAATATTCAGTATATACTATAACTTACAAATTAAAAAGTGAAAGACAAGCATGCCAACAGGAAAATGAGCAAAAATAGAAACAACCTGCTATTCAAACAAATAAATAAACATCCTATGAACATAAAATGATGCTCTTAGTTTGGGTTCCCCCAAAAGTACACCATGAAACAAGACTTTTGTGCAAGTAGTTTACTTGAAAGGTGACTCCAAGGATCACAAGAAAGTGGGAAGAGTAAGACGAGGATTGTAAAAAAGTGAAACAAAACCAAGAATCAATGATCATTTTACCACAGAGGGTAACAGGGTAAAGCCCCAGTGATACTCTCTGAGATACCATGTGGCACATGACCCCACACTGTCACAACAGAGGAGTCATCCCATCTCCTGGGTAAAGCCCTCAGGCAGAAAAGAAGAAAGATAGATGCAGGAGACTACAGTGGGAAGCCAGCAGAGTGCTTGGAGACATGTGAGAGCTAGAGGGAAACTCAGGTAAGGCAAGAAAAAATGGAGCACTTGCTGCAGGTGCTCAATCTCACTAACAGGAAAACGTAGATGAGAACGACAATAAGCATTTCACCCTCTAAGATTGGCAAAAGTTAAAACTTCTGACAGTACTTAGGGCAGACGGGAATGTGGAACAATGAGGACTCTTGAACAAAGGCTGGTGTGCAAAGAAGCTATTCAACAAGGATGGATAGAGTTGGACAGCCTTTTCTATGCAAGTGAAACTGTCCCACATGTACACAATATTCGTAGCATCATACAAAACAATCTGGAAGCAACCTAGATATCTATCAATGGTAGAATGAATACATAAATTGGGATAGTTAATATCTAACAGCAAAAAAATTAATAAGCAGTAGTTCTCCAGGACTAACAGCACTGGTATCATATGGAAACTTACGAGAAATGTTAATTTTCAGGTCCTAGCTTAGCCCAACTGCAGAAACTCTGGGGGTTGAGCTCAGTAATCTGTGTATTACTAAGCCCTCCAGGCAATTTTAGTGCACACTAAAGTTTGAGAACCACTGAAGTAGAGGTATGTTAGCACAGAATAGTCTCCCAAACATAATGTGGGACAAAAAGTTGGGGGCACAACAATACATTCATATGACACCATTATACAAAATGATTGAATATCCACTATAGTATTATATTGCCCATGAATGCATACATATGAAGTAGTAAAATGAAACAAAATGCATAGGAATGATAAATACCAGGTTCAGGCTGGTGGTTGACTGTGGGAGGGAAATGAATAGGATATATAGTTTGCAGGGATATATAGGGGACTTCAACTATACTGATAATGGTATTCTTTAAATAATGTATTGTATTATTCCTTATAATAGGAATAATGATTGAAGAAAAACCATATAACATGAAATTTACCATCGTAACCAGGATCTCACAGTGTTGCCCAGGCTGGTCTTGAACTTCTGGCCTCAAGTGATCCTTCCCTACTTAGCCTCTCAAAGTGCTGGTATTACAGCTGTTAGACATTGCAACTGGCCTTATCATAACTTTTTTTTTTTTTGGTGGGGGGGTTTTCCAGCAAAAACCAGAAAGCCTGCTAGACAAATTCTAAGAGAGCTGTAACACCAACTACTTTTCTTTTTTTTTGAGATGGAGTCTCACTCTGTCACCCAGGCTGGAGTGGAGTGGTACACTCTTAGCTCACTGCAGCCTCTGCCTCCCGGGTTCAAGCAATTCTCCTTCTTCTGCCTCCCAAGCAGCTGGGATTACAGGCACCCACCACCAAGTCCAGCTAATTTTTCTGTATTTAGTAGAGATGGGATTTCATCATACTGACTTGGGTGGTCTGGTAATCCCTGCCCACTTTGGCCTCCCAAAGTACTGGGATTACAGGCATAAGCCAACCCACTGGGCCTCATAGCTTCTTAATGAACTTCTTGAATACTTCATTTGTCTGATATTTAAGGCACGATCACTCACCTATTTACTGCAACCATATTAAATGTCCACTGCACATTTTTTGTCCTTTCTCTCTGCCATGCCTATTTGCATACTATTGTTTTTGCCTGGAATGCCCTGATCTCATACTTTACATGCACAAATCCTATTCATCCTCCAAAACCCAGTTCACAGATCAATTCTTTGAAGTCTTCTCTGATCGCAACATTTTCACGTGGTCTCTTCCCTCTTCCAAATCCCCATACACTCTAGCTTCTCTGTTCTCGGGGTACTGACATCTGACTACCTTGTTGTCTGTACATGCCATTATCTCATTGGGACAGAATTCATAAATAACAGCTAAAATGTACTGGCTGCCTACTGTGTGCCAGGCACTGTACATATAGTATTATATTTATGTGCTCATATGATCCTTTTATCAACCTGATGAGTTAGGTACTGTTAGCTTCACTTAACAGATAAGGACAGTGAGATTTAGAAACTCAGCTAAGTTTACACAATGTGGCAGAGATGGCTATTGTCGGCCAAAATTTACTGTTTTATTGCCATAATACAGAGTGGTTGCATGGAAGCAGGACCCAACATGACTATTCCCCAGCCACCTTGCATCCAGGTAGAACCTGTGACTAGTTCTCAGGAATAGAATCCAAGTGGAAGTGATATGTGTCCATTCCAAGTGAAGGTATTTAATAATCAGGTGTGCTTTTCCCTACTATCTGCTTTTGTCTGCTATCTGGATGCAGAGAACTCTAGGGAGGCCACGGAAAATAAAGACTCTTGAGTCTTTCTGACTATACCAATCAACCAGGAACATCCACCTAGAAGCACAACAAAGGTATTCAGGCATTGAAACTGGGGAGTTCATACAGCAGCTGGCATTATCTTAACTAATTCAAACAGCTAATAAGAGGTGGAACTAGGCTTCCAACTGAGGAGAGCTTATTTTAGAGGCTATGACTGAGATGACTCTGTATCTATAAGATCGCATGCCTGTACTTCTCCCCACTAAGCTAGTGTCTCCCATCATGTCAGTCAAGAGCCACTTCTATAAGGATTACAAAGCTGCCTGTAAAAGATGTAGACATGAGACCTCACTCCAGATTTTCCAAATTAAAATCTTTAGTATTTGTGACAGAAATCTGCCTTGTTAACAGTCTTCCCAGGAGAACTTTGTATATGCTAAATATTGAGAAACTTTTTTCTGAATCATATTATCTGCTTCCTTATATTCAGCACAATGTCTTATAGAGGACAGGGGATCAGGCAGCACTGCATAAGTGAATGAATGAAAGTGTGAGCCAACAGAGCATTCATGTAGAAAGGGACCCCAAACTTTCCATCTCTTCTGGATTCTAAATCCAGTGCTGACTCTTTAAATCCCATTGAACAGTACCCCTCAGGATTCCTTCTTGAGTCAGGAAGGTGTTAAACCATTGCCAGAAGAGACCCTCTACTATTCTTGATGCTGAAGCCTCACTTTCAAGCTGCCAGAACTCAGACGCCATGCCTGGTGGACTTATTGTCCAGCCTGCCCACGGAGCAGGTAATTAGTCTGAAATGTAGAGCAACGGCAAAGGTCAAACTCCCCCACTGTTGCAAGGGACAGTTTGTTTCCAACAAACTCTCATAAAGGACCTGGAATCCTCACCTCACATAGCCTTAGAGTCCTGAGAAGAGAGGGAAAAAAATGCTTTCCCATAAAGGTCCACTGTAACCTTGATTGTTGTTGTAGCATTCTACAAGGGCTGATAACTGCTGGGATCATACAACCGACGGTGAATTTGATTCAATCCTGAATTCCACTGCAGAGGGCTCTGGTGAGAACTGCTAACCTGTCTTAATGGAAGAGGACAAAGAAAGGCCACCTTTAGATTTGTGAGGTCACGCACAGCTCAGGAGGCATGAAATTTACTAAATTTGCTGCTAGCTCAAGCCATTTTCTCAAAATGACCATCTCTCTAGGGAGAGATATTATGCTAATACTGTTAGAAGCTCAGAGGTTAGGTAAAAAAACAATATAAGTTTGCTGTTTTGTCAACTTTGGTTTCTGCTTTAGCAGTTTAAAACGTAAAAAAAAATCAAGGAAGAATAGAAAAATAAGCAAAAAGACTAAAGTGGGAGGGAAATGGAGAGTCAGCATGCAAAAGGGAAAGAGCAGAGTAAATACAGAGAATGATAAAAGAATACAGTGGAGAGAAAGGGGGAAAAAAGTAGATTCTACCTCCCTCCTTTTTCATTTGAAGAAAGCTTGGGCATAAGCTTTTCATTTTCCTGACCCATAAAAATTGTCAGTGACCTTGTTTCTTCTCTTCTCTGAGCCTGGAACAGGTATTGAGGGATAATCTTAGAAAGTTTTAAATTGCCTGAGCACGGGGCTGAAGCCGCCCATTGACTACTGGGAGTCTGGTGAGTTCAACAGAGGATGTAGCATAGAAAAGGAATCAATCTCTGAATCTTGTACCTTTATCAGCCCATGCTGGCTGCCCTCCTCCCTCTCCTACCATCTCCCAGAAAAGCTTTCAGCTGAATCCTTCATGCTCACTCTCTTGGATAAACAGCTGCATGTAATCCCTTGCTATGCAGGAGACAAAGATTCAGCCTTGCATGGTTAGAGCAAGGACTCTGGGCTCTGATCTCATTCTCATTTTCTCCCTCTCTTTCTCTCGCCGCCCCCCCCCCCCCCCACACCCACCACCACAGGAAGATCAGGGAAGATTTCTGTGGGACCCCTGAGTTTCCCACTCAGTACACCCTCCCCAGACACACCTGGAAGCAGAAGTATAGGATATCCTCCTATCATTAAGAGACTTATAAAATGATATGGTCCACCTATCTTCAGCTTAATACCTTGCCCCTCCCCCCCCTCTTTTTTTTAAAGAGAGCAGGAGTAACACAAAGGAATTAAGCAAAAGGCTATTTCCACACAGAATTCTGATTACAAATTTCATGCTGTTTACATCTCTAGCAAGGTCAATTACAAATCATCTAGAGGAAATGGCTCTGCCAGTTTTTCCCATGTCTCCACTCTCTCTCCCCTGCCACTCTTGATATTCTTCTGCAAGGCGCCACCTGCTGAATAAAGATTGGGACATAGTTTTAACTTAAATTTTACTGCTTCTTAGCATTAAAAAGATGCAAGTTATTTAAAAATGGATATATGTCTTCAAGGTCACTATTCTGGAATTCAAAGATCAAGCAGATGTTGATTCATCAAAGAAAATTTGCCTTTATTTCAGTAGTTGAGGTAGAAAGACTAGAAAAGTGTAACCCAGCTATTAGGTGGATATCAGTGGCGTATACCTCTCCCCAGTGCATTGCCTGTGGAAGCCCAAAGATCTTCTCTTGTATTTTTGGAAAGTCTTGGAATCTTCCTTTTCCATACCCGCTTCTTCTTCCTGGATGCTGACTCATCATGGACTGCCTCTTTTCTGGGCTCTGGGTTGACCCAGATATGGACCTTCCTGAAGTGTCCACCCACCTAATAGGAACCAGCCCCACCAATGATTTGTGACACTAAAGGCCTTACGAAAGTCTTTAAAGGGGAAGAGGAGGTTACATGATAGTAATAAGCACACCACCCTTCTTAAAATATCTAAAACCCCCAAGAGCAATGGCAACAAAAGCGAAAATAGACAGATGGGATCTAATTAAACTAAAGAGCTTCTGTACAGCAAAAGAAACTATCATCAGAGTCAAAAGCAACCTACAGAATGGGAGAAAATTTTTGCAATCTATCCATATGACAAAGAGCTAATAACCAGAATCTACAAGGGACTTAAATAAATTTACAAGCAAAAAACAAACCCCATCAAAAAGTTGGTAAAGGATATGAACACTTTTCAAAAGAAGACATTTATGCAGCCAACAAATGTATGAAAAAAAGCTCATCACCAGTCATTAGAGAAATGAAAATCAAAACCACAATGAGATGCCATCTCACGCCAATTAGAATGGCAATCATTAATACGTCAGGAAACAACAGAGGCTGGAGAGGATGTGGAGAAATCGGAATACTTTTGCACTGTTGGTGGAAGTGTAAATCAGTTCAATCATTGTGGAAGACAGTGTGGCATTTCCTCAAGGATCCAGAACCAGAAATACCATTTGACCAAGCAATCCCATTACTGGCTATATACCCGAAGGATTATAAATCATTCTACTAGAAAGACACATGCACATATATGCTTATTGCAGCACTGTTCACAATAGCAAGGACTTGGAACCAACCCAAATGCCCATCAATGATAGACTGAATAAAGAAAATGTGGCACATATACACCATGGAATACTATGCAGCCATAAAAAAGGATGAGTTCATGTCTTTTACAGGGACATGGATGAAGCTGGAAACCATCATTCTCAGCAAACTAAACACTGCATGTTCTCGCTTATAAGTGGGAGTTGAACAATGAGAACATATGGGCACATGGAGGGGAATATCACACACTGAGGCCTGTTGGCGGATGGGAGGCAAGGAGAGGGATAGCATTAAGAGAAATAAATGTAGATGACACGTTGATGGGTGCAGCAAACCACCATGACATATGTATACCTATGTAACAAACCTGCATGTTCTGCACATGTATCCCAGAACTTACAGTTAAAAAAAAAAGTGGAGGCCACATTGGAGCTGGTGATAGGTAGAGGCTGGAGCAGTCTTGAAGCAAATGCTGGTAAAGCCTGTATTGCTGTGAATGGAGCTGAAGGGCTCAGAGGAAAAGCAGAGCTGTAGAGAAATCCTCATTCTTCTTAAAGATTACCTAGATGGTCAGCAACAGAATATTGGTAGAAATAAGAATAGTAAGAGGTATTCTGATGAGAGCTGAGATGGAAATAAGGAACAAGCTATTGAAGCTACAATATTGGTAGAAATATGGTTAAAGGGCATCTGATGAGATCTCAGATGGAAATAAGAAACAATGTATCCAAGCTGGAGGAAAGGCCATCCTTGTTACAAAGGGGCTGAAACCTTAGCTGAGTTAAGCTGCATCCTAGCACTTTATGGAAGGCAGGGAATAAGAGCAATGAACTAGAATATTTAGCAGAAAAAGTCTCTAAGCAGCAAAGCATTCAGGGTGTGGCATGGCTTCTCTTAACTGCCTATAGTAAAATCCAAGAAGAGAGAGTGCTTTAAAGATGGGAATTTATAATTAAAAGGGAGGCAAAAGGTAAAGATCTGGAAAATTCTCAGCCTGGCCATGTAAAAGAATAATAAAGCACACTTTGGAGAGATAATCAAGGGCACGGCCAAGCAACCATTTGTTAAGAACCTTAGTATTAACAGCAGAGAGCCAGGTTCTAGTCACCAAGAAAATGGAAGAATTCCCCTGAAAGTATATCAGAGATTTTTGAGACTCCTCCTCCCATCATAGCCCTAGAGTATGGCATGGGGGCAGAATGGTTCCCAGGGCACCAGGAGGACCCAGGGTGGTCGTGCAGCCTTGGGGGTTTGCTGTCCAGGGATACCCTCAAGTCTACACTCCTTTTCGGGCCCAGCTCTCCTCAGCTGTCCCAGCTGAGGCCAGGCTGTGTAACACAATGGAATGTAACTACATTGCAAAGTCCACACTTCAGAAAATTCTAATTTTGCATTAGGTTGGCAAAAAAAGATAATTTCACGTCAAAGACCAGGATCCCTAGAAAATGGAACCTGAAGGAAAATCCTGCCTGCAAACACTTCACTAGGAAGCCATTCTCTCAGCTAACCAGGTATGAGATCAAAGAGGGAGTGTGGCAAGGAAGGAGGGAGAGCAAACAGAGGAGTGTGCTGGTGACTGGCCTCAGCTTTGTAAAGGGCCAAGACATTTCTTGGTCTCTGAGGTCATCTTCAGAAGTGCTGCCTCAAATGACTGTCTTGAAATACTTGATGGGAAGAGGAACGGAGAGGAATTTTTCTATTTGAGCACATTTCTCGAACTGGCCAAATATGCCTGTTATTTATATATTTTGTTTTTCCCAACCCCCAAAATTTGTATGTTGAAGTATTAGCCAGGGCTTTAAAGGACAATTAAGTTAACATGAGCTCTTTAGGTTGGGCCCTAATCCAATATTACCTGTGTCCTTATAAGAAGAGAAGAGGACAGAGATACACAGAGAGAACCCACATGAAGACACAGGGAGAAGATGGCCATCTACAAGCAAAGAAGAGAGACAACAAAAGAAACGAATCCTACAAACACCTTGGTCTTGGACTTCTAGCCTCCAGAACCATGAGAAATAAATCTGTACTGGTTAAGCTACTCGGTTTGTGGCAGGGGCTCTCCCTGAAGACACTGCAGGTTTCATTACACACCACTGCAATAAAGAAATACCACGATAAAGTGAGTCACAAAGGTTTTTGTTTCCTGGTACATATAGAAGTTATGCTTACACTCTGCTGCAGTCTATTTAATTTGCAATAGCATTACATCTAAAACAAAGTATGAACCTTAATTGATGTATCCTTTAAATATATATTGCCTCCAAAATGCTAACAATTATCTGAACCTTCAGCGAATCATCACCTTTTTGCTGATGGATGATCTCGCCTTGACGTTGATGGCTGCTGACTCATAGGTTGCTGGTTGCTGAAAGCTGGGGTGGCTGTGGCAATTCACTGAAATAAGACAACAAAGTTTGCCACATTGACTCTTCCTTTCATGAAGGATTTTCTGTAGCACCAGATGCTGTTTGATAGCATTTTATTCATAGAATTTCTTTCAAAACTGGAGTTGATCCTGCTTTATCATTTAGATTTATGTCATGTTCTAAATGGCTCATTGTCATTTTAACAGTGTTCACAGCAGCTTCATCAGGAGATTTTATCTCAAGAAACCACTTTCTTTGCTTATGCCTAA